ATATGTAATCGTTAAAAATAATTATTTTCTTTATTCTCAGTTTTTTATCAAATAACCGGCGCCGACGACGTGTCGTTAAATAAATATTATCAATCTTATCACAAAATGTAAAAAGTACAATAATTACTTAAAACATTCAACTACTAATGACTCTTAGCAATAAGAAAAAGGTTTTTTATGGTTATTTTCATCATAATCATAATACCTACCTACAATATGACTAACAACTTAACTCCCTAAAAGTTAATTTTCTTGTAAAAGCATGACACGCAGCAATTTAATTCAATAATATAAGTCCATCAATCTTCAATCTTTCTGGTATATTGTATAGTCGACTATGTTACCGCCACTATGTTACAAAATGGAGACATATGAAGTATTGAACAAATTATAATTATCAATGATAAACCAAATTCTACGCTTAATGTAGAAGCGCCAATTCCAACCGATAGTCTTTACAGTGTGAGCTGTCCTTTCTTGTTAAACTTTAAGTCCGTTTAAAGAGAATTTTATTGGCGGGCGCTTGATATATCACGATGTCTATCGTAAATCTGGTTGCGGTGAAATAAATAATTTAAACTAATAAAAGCACCCCGCGCTCCAAGCGGTAAATTGCTAGGCCGTTTAGATTTATTCCGTACAAGAAACGAATATCCTACACGCGAATATTGTATTTGTACGCAATGGCTGCTTAATAACTTAGCATACAACTAACTAAAGGAATACTTACGTGCGTAATAAATTATTTTATGGTAAAAGTACCACGAAGAAGGACTATGTCCAGGAGTGGGCTTGTGATGGGCTGTAATGATAATGATGATGATGATGATTATGAAAAAACCACAAAATGTACAAGGCTCGTACTTTATTTAAATGCTTTTAGTCCACTGCTGAACATGAGCCTCCTCCATAGATTCCCTCATATGGGAGATATTTGCCATAGTTGCCACGCTTGGCAAGCAACCGCAGTTTTTTTAGTCGGTATTAGGAAGACGCTGCTGCCCATCTCCTGCTTTGTTTCCCACGTAAGACACCCACGGGATGATATGTAGTTCAGAAGCTATTATGTGGAAATAGTTATATTTTTTCTAGATTTTAAAGTCGAATTTTACTTGTTATTATGTTGTCAATTTAAACTTGTTAAGTTAAATTTTTTACGCTTTTGAGTGGACTAAACAATGTCACACAAGCTCAAGATAATAACTTGAATGTCGTCTTAGTAGTTAGAGATATATAAATTTTTCAAATTTAAATGGCAGCCTTGACTACTTAACTATAGCCTAATTAACAAAAACAGAATCATTGAAATCAATTCAGTCCTTTTTTGAAAAATCGGTGAACATAATATATAAAAATCATACACATCGAATATAAAACCCTTTCGGTCGGTTAAAAATATTAATACACCATTGTTAGCAACATCCATTAAGTAAATCTGATTCAAAAATGGTTTATTTTATAAATATCCGATTTTAAATTATTCATATTAATATGTGTACATTATTTTATAGAATGGGGGTGACAAACGAGCACACAGCCCACCTGATGGTAAGTGGTTGCTGTAGCCCAAGGACGACTATTCTCGATTAAGAATCAAAATGCAGATGCGTTGTCACCTCTGAGGACTAAGATGGAATACCTCGTTTCTAGTAAAAAGGTTATCCGGTTCTGTAAGAACATGGTCGACCCCGGTCGAGCTGACCCGTTCGTGCTACAAACCATAATAATATATCTGAAGCATGGTTCTACCACGTAATATTATGGTATAATCAAACAGTAATGTCGTACGTAGTAATGTCAGCATTGTGGAACACAAATACGCAACTTCGGTGCCGTAAGGTTCTGAGAACAGAAAAACACACAAAATGTTAACGGTAAGCAACAATAAAGTGTCAGATACCGCAATATTCAATCCACCAAATGCTTTACGATAACGGAAAGTCTCACTACTATAGAGAAGGCCCTCTTTTTATCGTGTGCGATATCGATAATTCGTCTTATGGCAGTAACCACTACCCACGGGAATAATATATTATATGACGTGTCCTAAAACTGATCATAAGGCGCTAAGAATGTGATGTGTTTCCAAATAACCTGGTGAAATAATAACTTAAAACAAAAAAAAACTTTTATTCCTCCCAATCTATCCACAACAGGTGCTTTTTATTATATACAATGTATAGCAGGTGTTTTGATTTTATGAAGAATTTTATAAAAAAATAAGAGACACATATAAATGATAGAGTCACACTGCAACTACCTATACGCACTGCAGCACGAAACACGAATGGATCGGTATTTTGGTCTTTTTTGTGTTTGTTTCAATAGGTAGCGCTCTTGTCCAGATATAGAGATCACCCGTGCGATACCTGGGAGATAACATGTGTTTCCTTATTACTGACGGACATCAGATAATTTTCATTTAAATTTTTTTACAGTGTTTTAGAGCTCCATTTAGTTCTGTACTTTATTCACCTAACAATTTTGAATCGCTAGTTCTATATAAAAAAGTCATCAAATAAAATAAACCATTGAAACTGCGTTTATACAAGAGTATTTTAGTTGAGATGAGTTTATTGTACCATGTGATTCAAATAAGAATAGGAACGTCAATGACTGAATGATGATGTTCTTCAATTTGGTTTCCTATTCGTCTCACTTCGCTTAGACCAAAGATGTCCCATTTAATATTTTTAAAGCTGTTTCTATTTCAAGAAGTTTTTCTGGTTTTCTTAGTGAAAGTGTATTTAAAGTGGCTATGTAAATATTTGTTGGTTTTTCTTTGGTTGTTGTGTTATCGGGAAGGTAGTAGTCGTCCTCCTCCAGGGCAACCGACCGTCTTGGGGTGTATTTTTTCGAAGTTGGTTTGGATAAAGTTGTGGTTTGTGTTGTGGTTTGATTCCAGGTGCCGGTGATTGTTACAGTTTTTTTGGGACTTCAGACAGTGAAGCTGATCTACCTCGTTAAACATAGTTGAGGATATTGGGTTTTACAATTTCTTTTGTTGTTCCTTTGCTAGTTGGCGGTTTTGGAATGTCTTTTGTGTTTACTTTCTTCTGAATTAACGAGTTTAGTGAGCCTGATTCCTCTCTCTTCCTTTTGTCTCTAGATTTGTCTGTTGGTTTCTTTACAATTATTTTATCATATTTTACAAAGGCTTCATTTGCCTTCTTCTTTTCTTCTATCACTTGGGTTTGTAGCTGCTTCCGCTTTCCAAGTGCTTCTTTAGGTAAAACTTCTTTTACGTATATTCCTGGCGGGAATTTGTTCTTGTTTTTTAATATGTTACGTTTTTTCCATATGGATGCGATGGACATTACAACGAGCCGATTTTTGTAGTTGTTACTCTTGGCAATTCTATATATGTTACAGATTTCGTTGCTATCAATGTTTCCTTTAAGTGTTGTACCAACTCTGCTTCTGATTTTATTGTTTTCTATTCCAAAAATCACTAGATTATATTTCCGTTTCTCCTTATCCAACATATTGATTTTCTGCTAAGCGTAGATATTTTAGCTTTAAGTTGAGTATTTTCTTCCGTTATTGTTTTTAGTCTTTCGTCTACTGCTTCCATAACGCATTTTGTCACTGACACAGTAATAAATTTAGTTTGTTTGTTTAATTTCTCGTCTACAACAACTCCATACATTTTCCAGTTTTTTGGGGTAATTTTTTGTTATGGAAATACTAGTTTGTTTATGATAGTCACTGATCCATAGACTTACAATATTATGCCAGTATATCCTAAGTCTATGCACTGATCACTGTCAAAGGGGCGTTAACTGTCTCTTGGCACTTGACACTTTGTCGGTTAGGTTGGTTGTTCTGCTAATTGATAAAAATTGCAGTTTTAGGTAGCTTGCTACATATTTATTTATCTATGGTTTTAGGTTATGTAGTGGAAGGTTATGGATGGAAATTATTGCAGTTTTTACGGATAGCAAATGTGTTTTGCACTTTAATCACTTTCTAGTTATGTTTATTATTAAATTCTCCTGAGGATTTTGCACCGAGACACCTTTAAATACACTGTTTGCACAAGTATTAATTATTATTTGCGGATGACGTTAAGCACAATTTTATGTGTTATTTACTTGTGGTGTTGGCGAGAATCAAACTCAGGTCACATGCGTAATATGAAATTTAAGGCTCAATTTAAGATCTATTACTGGTGTCAGTAAAACTATTACTGTAACACACTTATAAATTTTAAGAACTATTTTATCACAAAATAAGCAGGAAGGTGGTACTTATCCAAATAAGCCCCTAGACATAAAAAGAGGCCTGCCGTCTGTAATCCGCCACCGTGTCTAGATTTCATAGGCACTTGGTATGAAAGATTAGATTGATTACATTCTAATCAGGTTACATTCTAATCGATGTTGGTAGCCTATCTACTTCGATGGTGGGGCCGTGCTTTTGTGGCAGTATTTTTTTGGAAATATAATACTTACAGTGATAATGAATATATATTATAGCAGACGAACTTGTTTTGGTAATCGTGAAACATGTCACTCTTACTAGAATATACTTTGTTATCAAAAGGTTAATAAAATGAACATAAAAAATATTAATATTAATGTTTGAAACGAAAACGTTCAAAAATATTTAGATCGTATTATAGTAGCGAGAATACAAATAACACTCAGTTCGCACCAGTTGAAATAAGTGAAAATACACATGACAGACTCAAAGGAAACTCGTAAGGGTAATTTGTAAATAGCAACGACAAAAGCTCATCCACCGTATAACAATCAGCATCCGACATGACCATCATTAAAATTACGAACAATGAAACAGCTTCGCAACCGGCTCAACAGGCTGTGACCACATCTTAAACCCCTCTATTGTTTCACCTAACAAATTGTCATCCAAACCTCCCCCTCTATTCAGGTCCAATTTTTTTTATATAGGACTGAATCAGCACGCACAGTTTAATGTGACGTGAGTGACACGCGATTTTCCTTGTGCGTTTGTGTCTGTATTTAATTCGTGTTATCATGTGGTTATTACGTCGAAGTAGCTTGCTCTATTTTTTAAGCGCTTTCTTGCTGGCTTATATGAATCCAGTGTGCGGTGCTTTTACAAACTCCAACTTCAACAATAACCTCAGAGAATTTTCCGTAAGAGATAATAGTAAAGTGAGTCCATCTTCATATTCAATGCAAATCGACATAATCTAGTACTTCAATATGTTTGTAAAGAACCATGCCCACTTTTCATACATTTAAAAACCTGATAGTAAAAGTTTATGTATAGTTATAAGGTATAGTAGAAAAACTTCCTGTCAGTTTAGAAAATAATGTCATGTAGTCAGTTTTACGATTTAAACGCTACGAAGCCCAAAAATATTAATTTTACTCTTTAGGTTAGGATTTGCCGTTACCAAATATTTAATTTTTCTATCTCTTATTAATGTTCTATCACCACTTCCTCTGAGATTATACTGAGAAAAATCTTGTGTATCCCTACATATTTCTATTCTATATGATCAATGAAAAACACACAAAATGGGAAAGTACACAATAAGACGCAAACACAACAAGTGATTATATTCTCTTTGGCAACAATGAAGGACTGTGCCGATGTCAATCGTAGAACTGTTAAATGTCAAAAAATCCGTTTCACTCGTGTGCACTCAATGACATACTGCATTATTTATTTATTCGTTATTATTTTATTTTTAATTAATCTGTACTATACAAAAAGTATAAAAAGGAATATATATAAGAATATAAGGAAATACTTACTGATTAAATAAAATAAATGTTTAAAACTCAGAAACAGAGTTCAATTAAGTCAAGTAGCGAAATGCGAAGTATGTGAAATGGAACGTCCTAGAAAAAGGGTACTTGAGATGCGTTTAAAATATGGTGGTAATAAGTTTACCCTTGACGTAGAATAAGCATAAATAAATATTAAAAATATTTTCCTCCTGCGTTTCTTTTAACATTCTGATACGCGTATTTAGTTAAGAATTCAATTAGCTGAATTTTAAGATTTATTTCATTTCTATACATAGTCAGGTGAAAAATGGGCATCCTTCTTTGTGCGAAAGTTAGATATATGATATTGAAAATATCATATTATCAAAACTAAAATAATTTTATGTCCACAAATACCATATTTCAAATACAGCTAGGAAAAATATAAAACTAAAGCTTGTAACTTGGTAATGTTAAGAGATAAAAGATATGGCCTTTCAAGCACGTATTTTGATTTTCAAATACGAACCGTTATTACATTTAAAAGAGCTCAGTGAAATTTCGAAAATTAATAAAGTTTTAATCTTTTTAATTAAAAAACTTTATATAAATCGTCATGATCAGCGTAAACATTCCATATCGAGGCAAGGATCTTTTTCATTTTAGAAAGTGTCTTCTATACTCTCCACACTTAAAGTAAGCGAAATTGGTTAACACAGTACTAACCTCCTCTCTTTAGTTTAAGTTCTCTATATTATCACGGACACAACCGGATTTTTCGTTTCATAAGTCAATTCTTATAACGGCACTCCATTCTTCTTCTATAGTTTCTTATTTAACTGTGGGCTTTGTGAAAGTGGATGTTGGGGCCCCTAGGCATCTACATCTACCCTCGCTTGAGAATCAAAATGCAGATGAGTTAATACCCCTGAGGTCTAAGATGCCTAGAATGCCTCGTTTCCAGTAAAAGGCTCTCAGCTACATTCACCATACGAAACACAGCATCATCCAATAATTTTTAAAAACTCGTGTTTAAAATTCCTCACTAAAGAAAAAAAATTTCCTTAAAAATACTATTATATGAATCAACGGAACTATAAGTGCGCTAGTCTTACTTGTACTTAGCCGTTATTTTACGTTACAGTCTGAAATTGGACCATGGATTTTTCATAATCGCGTCGCTTGACAGATAGATTGATGATCATGAATAAAATATAAAATAAAAGTGATTTTACATATCGGAACGTCAGTGTTGTAAGAGTCGATTAAGATATCCCAATCCTCCAAACCCAGAGCAATTTAATAGTATGTCATGCAAACACTTGTTTTGTGCGGGATTGGAACCCGCGGCAGCAGTTCCGCAGCGGCTAATGAAAAGTAATTCATTTCAGAACACGACAGTGCTGAAGCAAGGGACGGAGTTGTACACCAACTTTGTGCCAATTTCAAACCCGGTAACGTTCAAGGTAAAGAATTTTCCAATCCTTTAATCATGAGAACCGATCCTCATAGTGCTAAGATTTATATATAAAATTAAAGAGCGTGACTCCTAATTTGGTTATTCCTAGTTAGTTTGTAAAGAATATTCGTAAGATTTTAGGGCGAGTTAATTACCGTTTTTGTTGTGTTGGCTTATTAGTAATTATTAATTTAGGCGAGGCGAGGTCATTAATGTCCAAATTAGTAAGTTTTAGATGCAGTGACATAAAATAACTATGAATAAATAACCGTTTTATTTTCGTACCATAAATTTTAAGAAATAATTTCAAATATCACTTTTCCGTCACGACAGCTCTTTTTTCACACATACTGCTGGTCCACTTAAAAATTACTTAAATTATTAAAAAAGAATATTAAATATACAATTAAAAGTATTTTTATTTTGAAAATGAATCAGTTATTTTTAATTTTTCTGTAAGAAAGATTTAATGGATATAGATTAAAATGGATATCATAGCTACAAATCATATAGAACATAATTTTGGGAAATTTTGGTAAGAAACTAATAAATTAAATGTAAAACCAAACCTACCTATGAGCGTTGACGGAGTGAATGATTCAGAGGCCATAGCCAATATGTTCAAAGAACATTTTAGTGCAGAGTCTCCTCTCAGTTCTTCACAACAGATAGTCTATGCTGAGCCGAATCTAATAGAAACACCAATTAGATTTTCCGCTAAACAGGTCAGAGAGATAATCGGAAGTATGTCTAGGGGTAAGTCTCCGGGACATGACTATCTCAGCATAGAACATCTGCAGTATACTGGTTGTCACCTTCCTCGCGTCCTCTCCATGTTTCATTCACTGTGCATAAGTCATGCGTATCTACCCAGAGATTTGATTAAAACGATAGTTGTACCAATAGTGAAGAATAAGACTGGAGACATTTTAGATAAAAGCAATTACAGGCCTATGTCTTTAGCAACAGTGACGGCAAAGGTGCTCGACAGGCTACTCAGCAATGAGTTAGAAAAAGTTCTTCAGATTCATGAAACACAGTTTGGTTTTAGGGCAGGGCTGTCAACAGAAAGTGCAATATTAGGTTTAAAACATACAGTCAAATATTATACAGATCGCAAAACCCCGGTTTATGGATGCTTCTTAAACCTGTCGAGGGCCTTTGACCTGGTGTCGTATCATATTTTATGGAAAAAACTTGCCGAATGTAATTTTTCTAATGATCTTCTGGGTATCTTCCGCTATTGGTACAATCATCAAACCAATCATGTAAAATGGGCAGATAAGCTTTCTGAACCGTACGAGTTGAAATGTGGCGTGAGACAAGGTGGAATAAGTTCACCTCAACTTTTTAACTTGTATATAAATGAGCTGCTCGAGAGACTCAGCAGCACTAAGGTCGGTTGCCATGTGGATGGAAAGTGTGTCAACAACCAAAGTTACGCCGACGACATGGTGTTGTTGAGTCCCTCGGTCAGTGCGCTCAGAAAGCTTCTGGGAATCTGTGAGGCTTATGCAAATGAACACGGTCTAATGTATAATATAAAGAAAAGTGAGTTTGTGTTGTTTAAAGCTAATAACAAGAATCCCACGTACATACCACCTATCAGACTCTACAACACTGCTTTATCAAGGGTATCACAATTCAGATACTTGGGACACTACGTGACCGAGGATTTGCGTGATGAAATGGACATGGAGAGGGAGCGTAGGGCTTTAGCGACCCGGAGTAATATGTTAGCCCGTAGATTTGCACGATGCAGTAATGCCGTTAAAATAACTCTTTTTAAGGCATACTGCCAGTCTTTCTATTCGTGCTCCCTTTGGGTCAACTACACACAAAGGGCGTATAAAGCATTAAAGGTGCAATATAACAATTCATTTAGAGTTCTTTTGGGGCTGCCTCGCTACTGCAGCGCTTCAGGCATAGTCTGTGAGGCTCACACTGACGGGTTTGACGCGATAATGCGCACAAAAGCCGCATCGCTACTAAGCAGAACAAGGAATAGCTCCAACAGTATCCTGGGTGTTATAGCACACAAACATGACTGTCCTATAATAAGGCAAATTATTAAGGTCCTGCATGGCTGACTTACCTGTGTGTGTATGTATGTATGTATGATTGCTGGCGCGCGCGTGTGTGTGTGTGTGTGTGTGTATGTATGTGTGTGCGCGTGCGTGTGTGTGTGTGTGTGTGTGTGCGCTTGTGTGCGTATGTCCATGCGTGAATGCGTGCGTGCGTGCGTGTCATTTTACTTTCTCTGTCCTCGTAGCTGTATTATTATTATTATTTTGTGATTTTTCTAATATCTGTGATATGGATCTCATTTGTTATCCGAAATAAAGATTTATTATTATTATTATTATTTATTTTATGCTAGGCTCAGACTAAAAAAAATCGAAGCACTGCGTACATTTCAAGAGAAGCATAAACCTAAATTTCTTGACCTGCATACATCTTTTTTCTTTTTAATTGATCAGCCCGTAAAAGTTTACTGCTGGACGCAAGCTTGTTCACCTAAAACTATGTTTTGGTTACAAATGATTTTAAACGCATATAAGCGCATGTCCTTACATTGTTGAGCTTGGTTTTGGCTTGAATTTTGCGTCACTTGAAATATACGCAGTGGTCCGTCTTTCTTTCTTTGTTAATCTAAGATACCAGGTAACTTATTGCTGTTTTGCAATTACGCTCTCGCTTATTAACTACCTCTAACTCTTCACTCTATGTCGTAACTTAGGAACTAAGCTAACATTGTAATAATTTCTCATGTACGTGAAAAATATTTCTTAAAAAAAACATTCCGTAAACCACACATATATTTTTGAAAATTTTAAGCCATCACACAATATTTTATATACTTTGACAAAACAAAAATCATATTTAATGTCCATGTCATACCTATGCCGGTAGTTGTTGGGAGCACTAAGTTCGAAGTTGTTGACGAGTATGTTTACCTAGTACAAATAGTCCGACTAGGTAAGTCCAACTTCGAACGACAGGTCAATCGACAGATTCAACTCGGTTGGGCAGCGTTCGGGAAATTACGGCACATCTTCTCGTCAGGTATACCTCAAAACTTGAAAACGAGACTGTACAACCAGTGCGTGTTGCCAGTGATGACCTATGGTACTGAGACGTGGTCCTTCACTGCTGGCCGGATGAGGAAGCTCAAGGTCGCTCAACGAGCTATGGAGAGGGTTATGCTCGGAGTTTCTCTGCGTGATAAACTTAGAAATGAGGATATCCGCAGTAGAATCAGAGTGACCGACATAGCCCAACGGATTAGTAAGCTGAAGTGACAATGGGCCGGCCATATAGCTCGAAGAACCGACAGCCGATGGGGAAAAAAGGTTCTCGAGTGGCAGCCTCGTAACGGCGAACGAATTGTAGGGCGTCCCCCCACTAGATGGAGTGACGACCTGGTAAGATATGGAAGAAGTCGATGAATGCAGGTGGCTCAGGACCGTGCTTTGTGGCATTCCTTGGGGGAGGCCTAAGTTCAGCAGTGGACTTGTGAAGAGCTGTAGTGATGATGATGATGCAAGGCGTCTTTTACTGCAAGACCAATACCAGGTGGAAAGAGCGGTTAGTTTGCCAAATACATGTCGTATATCAGTAGTGGTAAAACAATCGTCTACTTTTTGTTTAAAAATTAGTCTTTATCAGGGCGTAGGACAGTTCTCTCATTATAATTGTATACACAAAGTAGATAAACTTAACAACGATGTTCGTATGCAGAAGAAATTATTTATGACCATGAATAATATTTTTGTCACTAAGCAGGAATGACTTTTTTTTTTTTTGCAACTTAAAAATATTATATTTAAGATAATTCTCATATTTTCACATCAACTTGCCACCGTTTTATAGTGACGTTCCCCTGACCGGAGAAGAAACGGCAAAAGAAATTTGCGTACGTGTTTAGTTTGTACATACGAGGGAGTATTCTTCTATTTATTCATCAAAATGAAAGTCAAATTCCTTACACATAGGTTCTCGTAATTCACTACTTTCGGCCATTGAACTTATGTCAATCAATCAATCATTTATTTCGCTAAAACATGGGTACAGACGGATGGCTAGAATCAATATTTGTTTCCACATATTTTGCCTTTAGTGGCGTTCAGAACAAATGAACAAAAAACCGGCCAAGTGCGAGTCGGACTCGCGCAACGAGGGTTCCGAATAAATCCGTAGGTATACAAGTTTAAAATTATTAAAAATATTTTCATTGTATAATGTAACCAAAAATTTATGCTTTTGGCAATTTTTCCTTTATCTGTGCTATAATACGTTGCTTCGTATCAAATTTTAAGATTCTGAGTTCACGGGAAGTACCCTGTAGGTTTTGATTCCCTTGCGAATGTCGAAAATTTGCGGCATAAACGGCTGTATCGTTTGATTGCGTTAGCTTAGAAGTTTGATTTTTTCACAGCTCCACGGCACAGTAGACTTGAGTATTTGATATGAATTTCAGCTTGATACCTCCCCGCGTTCCTGAGAAAAGGGGTCTTGACAGACAGACAGACGGACAACAAAGTGACCCTATAAGGGTTCCGTTTTTTCCTTTTGAGGTACGGAACCCTAAAAATAAGAAATAAACACAAATAATAGACCAGTATGTAACTAGCACTTTGTAATAACTACATTTGTATTTTAGAAGAACATGACAAAATTAGACAAATAACTTTTTATTCAATTGAGGAGTATCACGCAAATTCCTGGATACGTAGACGTACTTAAGCAAAATCAATGAAAAATGAAAAACAAAATGAAATTTAATGATCAAAGAATTCTTTGATATTATAAAAGGCAGTATTTTAGCCACTGCCTTAAACTTTTTTTCATTCGCCTTAATAGCTGTTCACAAATATTTTTAGGCACTTTATTATATACCTTGATACACGTTATGAGACAATTCTAATGTAATATGTATGCAATTCTCATAGGCACAATTTATACGTGGTAGAGCCATGCTGCAGCTATATTTGTAGTATAATTGTT